TGTGTAGACATAACGTGTAGACGTAGACATAATGTGTAGAAATGGGTAGGCAAAAATGTGTAGACATAATGTGTGTATATAAAGAGAAGGAATAAAGTGTTGGCAATAAAGTGTAAACAAAATGAGAAGTCATAATGTGTAGACATAGTGTGTAGACATAATCTTAGACATAATGCGTAGAGATAATGCTTAGACATAATGAGTAAATGCAATTTGTAGACATAATGAGTAGAGTAGACATAATGAGAAATCCTAATGCGAAGACGAAACAGAAGACATGATATGTAAGCAATAAAGTGTAGACATGATAATGAGAAGTTATAATGAGTAAACGCAATGTGTAGGCAAAAAGAGTAGAGTAGACATAATGTGTAGACCTAAAGAGAAGTTGTGTTGTGTTGACAATGAAGTGGAGAAGTAAGGTGTACACATAATATGTAGACATAATTTGTCGACATAATGTGCAAACTTAATGTACATTCATAATGAACCATAATGCAACATACAAACATGCACGGACTCTTTGTAATTCGTTCGTGCAGTGCTTCCTCATATCCCCCACCCCCAAATTCCAAATATTATCCTCTACATATTGCATTTCTCTCTTCCTTTCTGTACTCTTACACTTTCTTTGATTCCAAATGTACTGACGATGTCTCTTCATCCTAGCAAAGCCTTTAAAATATTGTACACTATAATATATCATTACCCACATTGTGTGAAGTCCCAGAAGCACGGGTGAAGACTTTTCCTTTCGTTTCTCAGAATAAAGGTTAGTAATAATTCAGAACATGTTTCATGGCTCAGATAAGAACACGTTTCTTCGCTCAGATAAAATGGAGTGATGCATGATTTTACAATGTACAATCTTTGAAAATCAGCACGTTCACATGGTAAAACCTTTCGTAGGAAGGTATAGTCGACAATCCGAAAATAGCTTGAAATACAATGACATGCACTTTGTGATGTGAATAAATAGAATCTGTCCACTGCGGGAGAGAAGTAATACTTCAGCAATCTGCTTCCTCAATCTACCTCCCAAGCAAAGTTTTATCATGCATTCTGCTTTAAGATAGTCAACCAAGACGCGAAAAAGCTATCTATACCCCTCTCTCTTTCTCACATGTCCGCCCT